CCGCCGCCGCCGCCACCACCACCACCACCACCACCACCACCATACCACACCACTGCCAACACCAACACCAACACTAACACTAACACCAACACCATCACCATCACCATCATCAACACCACCAACACCACCAACAACGCAGTTGCACATCCGACACCGAGTCAGAGGATCCATCGTCACGTGGGAGCCGGGTCTTTCTTGATTTTAAAAATGTCGCCGGCAAGAGACGCATCGAGTATCGTCTACGGCATCGGCGCACCGGCCAGCTCACGCCTCCTTCGTTATGTAACACCTATGTGTTTTTGCACGCTGGACGGCGACGAGGTTGAATCTAGTGGAAGGGGGTGACGGCAGCGGCGGCAATGATTGTCGATTTGCGTCGTGGGCGGGGTGGGGACGGTACATGGCGAGGGGGCGGTCATGTGACTTCTCGTGTACCGGGAAGTACCAGGTCTAGCAGAAGCCGCCCGGCAATGGAGATCCGCAGCAGACGAATTCGAGGGCCGTGGTGTAGTCGCGTTGGTAGCGACGGTGGTGCTCATATTTATTCGTGACAGGCACTTCGTGTGACTTTCCATGGATTATCCATCGTTGCCGGGGAACTTGTGCCGACTGAACATTTCCGCGCCACCGTTCGAATCGCCGTGTCGCCGCATCGTAACCAATTATTGCCTAAGGGACCGAGTCCGTTTATTTGGTGGACGGATTATTGTTGAAAACAAATGTAGCGATGTAGCCGAGCTCGAGCGACGTCAAAATTATTGCTGATTGCATCAACGTCAAAGACTGAAAGATAACAATAATTAAGCATTGCCTCTGGCGTACTTAAAAAATCTTCTGGTTCATTAGTCGAGTCTTAAATAATAACATCGACAACGACAACGACAACGACAACGACAACGACAACGACAACGACAACAACAACAACAATAATATTGTATCGTGGTAACGACAGCGAAGATAACGCTACAATAATAATTATTACAATTATTATAACGTGGGTTATTGTCGGTCTAACGTACCTTTATTTAAACATTCAAAATCCTCAATTATCGATAGATTATTTAAAAAAAAAAAAAAAAAAAAAAAAAAAAAAAAAAAAAAAAAAAAAAAAAAAAAAAAAAAAAAAAAAAAAAAAAAAAAAAAAAAAAAAAAAAAAAAAAAAAAAAACAATGAAAAATTGCTAAAGATTTTATCTTCTTCAAGATAGTTAAAAACACAAAATGAAAAATATTTGCCCTACATGGACGAACTATTCGCCTTTGTGCAATTTATACACCATTAACGCTACAGAGTAAGCAATCGCATCGAACACTCAATATAATAAAACAAAAAACAAAAAACAAAAATGAAAACAACAACAACAACAACAACAACAATAACACACACCCCCCCCCTCCCTCGACCGTACGTGTTTCAATGGCCAAGCAATACCAATTGCATACTACACAAATTTCATTGGCTGAATATCAAAACAACTAGTTTTTCAACTGAACTGTATTTACAATTTGACAAGTCTGCCAAATCACTATGGTATTATTTCTAAGTATTTTGCCCATCGCGAGCACTACCGATTTGGCGTGCAATAATTTTAACTTTAATCCTCGTCTATAATTGGTAAAAATAATTTGAAAGCAAAATTTAATACAAATATTGAAAAAATATCATCGATTTTAATGCGCCCATTAAAGATAAAACCAAAAAAATTGTACGATTTTATGCATTCGTGACTTAAATTTAATTCAGCTTCTAACGTTACAGCATAAAAATTGTATTTTCGATAGTACAATACAATTAACACGATCACTTTATTAATAGAATAAATAATTATTTTCTCCTGAAAAAGGAATATAATAATAATTTAGGAGTAGTCAAGCTTTGCATTTTTTTCTTTCTTCCATTAATTATTATTTAAAATAGGAGTACTTGGAAAGGGAATCTTTTATCACAGTCCACAGACATTTTTTACTAAATTCTAATTAATTTTCAAGCCTAATTGGAAATTGAAATTATACAGTTTTATAAATTTTTATGGCTAATAATCGTATTAATTAAAACTTATCATTGATAATTGTTACAGCTTGTAATAAAAGCCCAGTCAATCAGAAATAAAATCATAGAAAATTAGAAATTGCAAGTGAAAATATTGTAAAACGAAGAAAAATAATTTTTCAAAGAATAAATCGCATATTCATTTAGCCTGAACTGTGCAAATCTTTCTATAAGTAAATATATCTTTCTATAAGTAAATATATCTTTTTACAGTAAGAGTATGTTTTACCGATCCTGGCTATTATTATTATTTGTACAATATTTTGAGAATATTAATTAAATAGATAATTAAATAAATATTACTGTAACGCGCTGGTCACATGTGCTTGATATTCCAACATTTTAATCGACGAAATTTTTATTAAGTATGATCAACGAGTTAAAGGATCGTTTTATTCAATTAAAAAAATAAAAAAAAAAAAAAAATAATAAGAACCATTCTATTTCAATAATAAGACGATACTCTTATATAATATGTAGTTACCATTTTTAATTTCTAAACATTATAATACGTGCGCTTATTATGTCAGATTTATACTATTTTTTAACATAAATATATAAAAAAATTACATCGTATTAATAATGTATTGATAAAACAGATTAATAAATGAAATAGTGAGAAAATAAAAGAAAAATTCATTTGCGATCGATTGAATTTTTCATTAGAACAGAATATTAAAGCTCATTCCTCAGTTAGATTTTGTATAACAATTTTCACATTTGCAAAGCATAAAATGTGGACAGTCATTAATTAAATGTATATTTTAAAGTAATTGTATTACCTTTTTTTTTTTTTTTTTCTTTTTTTTTCTTTTTTCTTTTTAATCGCTATTAACGTTTTATATTTTTTGTCTGCCTTCGACATTCTTTTATCTCAATTCGAGAAAAATTAAGATAAAAAGAAGAAATTCGGATAAAAATCGCTACTCGCGTTGTCAATGTATTATCAATTTATCGGTTTTGGTTTGCTAGATTTTTTAAATCAAGTATGTATTAATCGGCATATAATATCGGAATATACACTTGGAAAATAAACTTACGCACAAACAACAACTTACATCATGAAAAAATAAAAAAATTTATTTTACAAAAGACGCTCAATAGAAAAAGTCTTATTACAATATTCATGGTTAAGCATTGCACGACTTAGGCGTAATAAATCCCAGGCACATACATCGCAAACAAATTAAGATATTAGAAAATAAACAATTAAAGAGTGCTAAGTGAAACGATGGTGATGACTCAGCGGAAAAATCTTTTCTCTCGAAACTTTTGGTTTCTCCGTCATTAGTTAGTGAGCATCGGTTATTTAATAATTACCTTATTATATTCCACGCCCTGAATTTAGATCTTAACGCCTTAAAATTGGGCATTTAGAAAATGCGCCACTGAATCAGTATTTATATATTTATAGTAATTATGCATACCAGAATACATATGAATGTATAATTATTATAAGTTAAGCAAATCGAATAACACGTTCGTTTGAAGAGAAACTCGTGGCAACATTCGTGAAATGAGCAGTGGGACATAAGAATGCTCTTATTATTACAAAACTGTTATTATTCATTGTTATATTTACGTTTAATCGTTTAATATATAAATTGGATGAATGGAGCATACGACGTCGGTGAGATAATGTTAAATATTTTTAACCATAATACGTATAATAACATTATAATTGTATCAAATTTATAATTTTATTATCCAATGCCATAATTACGCCATAATTGCGTCATAATTAACTGAATTATTTAATGCAACTTTAAAAAATAAAGGAAAAATTACGAATGATTTGACTAGTGAAGAAGAAACACAGATAGAGAAAAAGTAAAGATGTTACGGCAAGTAAAATATATTGAAAAGCGTTAAGAACAAAATAGAATTTTACAAAGTATTGAGCATTAAAAATAGAATTATTATCATTAGAATTCTATTTTTCGCTTTTGAAAATACGTCCAATATAACCAGACCATGACAAACTCTAACTTTTTGAAAATGTATTTCTCAATTTTAAATGCATTTCATAGACTTTTTATCTAAATTTTTTCCGTATTATGTCAAATGCATTTAACATTTATAAATACATTTTCCAATATATAAACATTTCAATAAAAAATGTCGAATCTGTTATTTGTTATTAGTTTATTTACTATAAAAATGCAAAAAATTGAAAATGTAGTCGAGCTATTAAACAAAATAATAATAAAGTTTACTTAGAAATGTTAAGAAAAGATGTGTTATGTAGAAGGTTGTAATGATAACATATCAGAATAGGATTAATTTCTTAACTAATTTATCTATGATTGGATTTTGTAATAAAAATTGTGTTGTAATTATAAAGGGATTT